CACCAGTCACCCGCACAGGGCCCTATTGAATGGGCACATGCCACATGCCTGTCCTCACCGGGCCAAGCCTCCTTCCTCCTTGAACACTCTCTTCTCTTGGCTTCCAGGCTTCTCACTTGGCTGGGTCTCTTCCTGCTTCTCTGGCGACTCCTCTTCAATCTCTTCTGCAGCAGTGTCTCTGTCTGCCCTTGAAGTGCTGGTATCCTGGGATCAGTCACGGATGCCTTTTTCTTTTCTCTCTTCTCCATCTTCCCCCAGGTGGTCCCATAGCCCTAAATCACATCTGTAAACTGACAACTCTCAGGAGTGTATTTGACCTGAGCCTCTCCTCTGAGGGCCAGGCTCATCTATCCAGTTGCCAAATGTCTCCCTGAACATCTCCAGTTGGCCAGCCATCTCAAAAGTCACATGTCCAACAAGTTTTGATCTCTCTGTCCCCAGACCTGTTTCTCACTGCCCTCCTCCATCCCTTCTCACCCCATAAAGGGCATCACCATCCACTAAGCAGTTACTACAAGAAATACGGTAGTCAGTCTCACCTGGAGACTCTCACCCTCCATAGTCATCAGAAGTCCTGTAGCTCCTTTTTCCATTTTCACTGCCATGTTCCTGGCCTAGGCCATGGATGTCTCACCCGGGCTGTCAGGATCCTGCTCTCCCCACTGCCCTGATAACCACCACCTCCTTCCCAAAGTCTAGGTTATATTCCCCAGGAGAGAGGGGGCAACAGGATTTGAAGATATAAAAAAAAAGAGGAGAAAGCCTGGTGTGGGCCAACGTGATGGTGGTTGGACACTTCACTCTGCAGCCTACTGGGCCATGCTCAGAGCTGCACATCTACATTTCTGGGGAGAAGCCAGAAAAATTAAAGAGAGAGCAAGGTACTGGGCCTCAGGAATATGGCAGCCTGATAGCCTACACTCACCCCGGGAGAAGAGCAGCCCCTCATCCAGAGCTGAGAACCCAGGACCCATTCTCTTGGCTATTAGAACACAAAGGGCTCTGCTTAGAGAAGGCCCTGGCCTAGGAGCTGGCAGCCCACGAGCCAGCCCTTTGTGGCATTATGTTTCATTTTTACCTTGAACAGCTGCAGGGAAGGATGGTCTGCAAGGAGGAGCCCTTGGCTCCCAATCCGAGAGCCTGCCCCATAACAGAGGCCATCTGACTTCACCTTCCCCATACCAAGCCTGCCTTCAGGCTGACGGACAGGTACTCACTGGCCTGGTTTGACCTTGACTGTGTCCCTGCTCCTTCCTGAGACCCAGAGTCCCAATTCTGCTCCCAGACTCTAAAAGCTGCAGAATTCAGGGACTTGCTCTCTCTCATCCAAAGTCTCAGTCAATCCTGAGCATGTTTGAGAAAGATTCCCTTATTTAATAAACATTCTCCAGCACTGTCCATGTGCCAGGCACTATTCTCAGCACTGGGACACAGCAATGAACAAAACATAGTTCTTGCCCTCTCACAGAGCTTACAGTCTGGCAGATGAAACAGAAACACACTAGTAAACACCTGGAGAAAAATAAAGCAGGAGAGGGAGGGGATAAGAAGTGCCATGGAGTGTGCAAATTCATCGTGGGTAATGTGGGAAGGCTTCACAGAAGGGTGACGGAGAAAGGGAGGGGGCCATAGAAGTCTCTGAAAAAAGGGCTCCAGGCAGCGAGCACAGCAAGTGCAAAGGCCCTGGGGCAGAAACTTGTCTTACAAAGAGCAGAGATTGGCCAAAGCCCAGGGAGCAGAAGGAGAAACAAAGGCAGAGGTCAGGGAAGAGCTGGAGCCAGCACATGCAGGCCCAGGAGGGCTTCAAGGACACAGCATAGGAGTGGCAGGGTGTGTGGACTTTAACAGGACAATTGTTGTTGGTTTGAGAGCAGAACACAGTGGGGAAGGTGGGAGCAGGAGACTGTAGGACATTGTGATCACCCAGGTATGAGTTACCAGTGGCTCGGCCCAGAGGTGGGGAAAAATGGACAGATTCTGGATACAGTTTCGGGGTCAAGCTGCCAGGATTTGTTAATGATGTGAGGCAGAGTGGCTTTGGGCTCAAGCATCTAGAAAAATGAAACTGCCTGTGCAGAATGTCCATCTTGCTTAACTGAATGAGTACTTTGCTGCTCTCCTTAAAAAGATGCCTTTCCCCACTGACATGGTTTGGATCTGTGTCCCTGCCCAAATCTCATGTCAAATTTTACTCCCCAGTGCTGCAGGTGGGGCCTGGTGGGAGCAGTGTCTTATGGTTTAACACCACCCCCTCTCTGTGCTGTCATTGCCGCAGTGAGTTCTGAGATGTGGTTGTTTAAAAATTGCATGGCGCCTCCCTCCTGCTCTTGCTCCTGCTCCAGCAATGTAAGACGCACCTACTTCCCCTTCACCTCCTGCCATGATTGTAAGTTTCCTGAGGCCTCCCTAGAAGCCAAGCAGATGCCAGCATCATGCTTCCTGTATAGCCTGCAGAACCATGAGCCAATAAAACCTCTTTTCTTTGTAAATTACCCAGTCTCTAGTATTCCTTTATGGCAATGCAAGAATTGACTAATACACTCATCTTTGACCACTTAGAAGACTTTCAAAGAGCTATGCAGCAAGTGTGGGTGATGGACACGGTTTGTCTGCCTATGTTATACATTTCCTAACCGCCATGTTACCAACCCTCCTGTGATATGTGGTTTGTTACCGTTTGGGTCCTTAGAGTGGTTTACTGACTTTATTCTTTACACCTATCCAAAAAGCTCCAACTTATTACCATTTATTTAATTCATAGTTTAATCAATTTGTTCCCCAATAAATACACAGAGGTAACAAATATTCCCAAAGACATAATTCTAAATCTGGAGTTCATGGCAAAATGGGACTAGGCAGAGCAGACATTTAGGCTGAAAAATATGCTATACTTCTGGGTTTCAAAGTCAAAGAAGAAATTATTAGAAAATAAAATAATCTTTACATTTTTAAAAACTAACACTATTCTCTCTAGGCTACTATTTCATGAAACACACGGACATGTGCAGGCATGCACAGGCACACACACATACTTCAAAAAGACAAATATGATGTCAAAAAACATGTGTTGTGTACACTGCATGAACTCTTAAGACTTGAGAAATAGATGAGATAGGAAAGTACATTCATTAACAATGTAACCCCTTCAAATTGAACAATACTGAATTAAATAAACTTTTAAAATAATTTCTTTAAGGAATGTCAAAGAAGCCTGAGTCACAGTTCTTCTTCTTGTTCTTTTTTTTTTATTATTGCATTTTAGGTTTCGGGGTACATGTGAAGAACATGCAAGATTGTTGCATAGGTACACACATGGCAGTGTGGCTTGCTGCCTTCCTTCCCCTCACCTGTATCTGTCATTTCTCCCCATGCTATCTCTTCCCAACTCCCCGCCCCCCCGTCCCTCCCCCATTTCCCTCCAACGGACCCCAGTGTGTAGTGCTCCCCTCCCTGTGTCCATGTGTTCTCATTGTTCAACACCCGCCTATGAGTGAGAACGTGCGGTGTTTGATTTTCTGCTCTTGTGTCAGTTTGCTGAGAATGATGGTTACCAGGTTCATCCATGTCCCTCGAAGTCATGTTTAATTAAGTTGCTTCCATTTTACAATGCACAAAATAATCACATACTATTTAAACAGGCAGAAACGAGTTAATCTGCATTTATAGGACACAGTTTTTTGGGTGGGAGAAACATTCTTTTATCATTTCATCCTTACTACTTAGAGGAAACAGACTTATGACGGTTCTAACTTATTTTTCAACTTCAGAATTATTCATTCAGTAGAAGCTATACTTCGAGTCCCCACACAACCATCCTGTTTTTCACTTTCAGTGTAACCTTCAAAAATTACATGAGCTATTCAACACACTTTATTATAAAACAGGCTTTCTATTAGACAATTTTGCCCAACTGTAGGCTAATGTAGTGTTCAGAGCACTTTTAGAGTAGGCTAAGCTATGATGTTCAACTTTTGATATTTTCTTTTTTTTTTTTAACTTTTGATATTTTCAACTCACAGTGGGCTTATCTGGACATAAACCCATCCTGAGTTGAGAAGCATCTGTATACCCAACATTGGTTATGTATACGTTCTTTAAATGTTCATTTTAAAAATAAAACTTTCTTGACATCAACCCTGTGATGTAGGTCTTTAATTTTTAAAACTGCAGAACAGGTTCCAAAATGAGCTCTTAGGGATTCACACAGTATCACACAGCCAAAACCACTGCTGTGACCTCTCAAATAGTCACACATCAAGGCTGGCCACGGTGGCTCATGCCTGTAATCCCAGCACTTTGGGAGGCTGAGGCAGGAAGATCCCTTAAGGTCAGGAGTTCAAGACCAGCCTGGCCAACATGTGAAACCCCATCATTACAAAAAATACAAAAAATTAGCCGGGTGTAGTGGTGCATGCCTATAGTCCCAGCTACTAGGGAGGCTAGGGAGGAGGATCACTTGAACCCAGGAGGTAGAGGCTGCTGTGAGCTGAGATTGCACCACTGCACTCCAGCCTGGGTGACAAAGTGAGAACCTGTCCCCCCAACAAAAATTATTCACACATCACCCAGTATTAAGGAGGGGTCATCATTCAGAGAGGGTTTTCTAAGATAATCTATTAAATTACAATTTATAAAGAAGAAATGTTTATAAATTTTTATGAAGTTATGAATTTCTAAATATAAAAGTATAAATTCACATAGAGCTGTTTAAATAAGAAGTTTCCCTCTGAGAGGATTATAAACTATGCAATCTGCTATGTGTGATTTCAAAGAAATGATAAATTATATCTAATGTGTAGGTATAATAGAATCAACTTTTGATATTCAAATTATCCTAAAACCTGCCTTAAACCTTTCTTTTCTGTTTGTGCTTCTGGCTGAGAACAGAAGGGATGGAGGCTTCAAATGACTGCGATTCTTCAGATGATTTCTTGTGACCGCTCATAAAGTATTTTTTTTTCCAGAGTCCAAAGGCAAGATAGAAAGTCTCTGACTTGAAGTCAGAGTTGATCTGCTGATCTGCTAGCCACAGCTCGAATATTGCCATAAACCTTGGAAGGAGGATTTCCCAAGATTAGGTTACAAATGGCAGCTCCTGCAATCTTGATGTTTTGGAAGGAGCCAAGGATGTGAAATTTCACATCAGCCAAAACTGTCCGCGTCCATGTCACATCCTCTGTGGTGAATTTGGTTTTTCTTCCTTTGCCAGCGATTCTTCCTATTGCCCTGGATAGATGGTCTCCCTTTAAGGGTTTAACATCTGTGATTTCAAAACACTCTAGGAAGAAGTCATCCAACCTGATCAGGGCAAGTGCACCCTCCACCTGAGAGCCGAGAATAAAGGCTTTCACAAAATCAGCTGCTTTGGCCAGAGCACTACCATCCTTGGTTTCTTTACAAGTCCTGATTTCTACATTTCGTGATTTCAAGTTAAAGAGTATCTGAAGTCCCAAATGTTCCACAATAGAAGTAAAGATCTTCATCCAGTTTTCTTCTGATGGTGTGCATCTGTTAGCTGGGACTGGAATTTTCCTTGTTTCTTCTTTCCCACTCAGGAGCCCATCACCACAGGAGGGTGGGAAGACAGGCATCTTCGCCAGCCTGGCCTCTTCTGTGTCCAGAAGGCCCGCATCCCCACCCTCTCCTGCTGCAGACAGCTGTTCAGCCTGTCGTTTCTTCGCCCGCCGGCCACCCTTGCGGGTGACCTGGGTAAAGCCCTCCTCTGCCCCGGCGCTCTGTGCTTCCATTTTGAAGTCCAACCCTGGGACTCTTATGAGCCACAGTTCTTCAATAGGCACTGTGTGGTGCACAAAGCGTGGGTTCACTGATGTGCAGGTGGACGGCCTCCCAGACACAGGGATGCATGACATGGAGCTCGGGGGAGAAGTCCATGGAGATGGGGGTCTGAGTATCATCGCCCTGCAGATGGTGTACAGATCACCTTGGGGCTGAGTTTAGAGGAGGAGCACAGAGCCTGGGGCTGGGCCATGCAGGGCCCTAATGTTCAGAGATCAGGCGATGATGGGACTCACTGAGGATGGTGAAGAAGTGTAACCACTCAAGGAAGAGAAGGATCAAGAAAGACAGTGATATGGTTTGGCTGTGTCTCCATCCAAAATCTCATTTGAATTGTAACCCCATAATCCCCAGATATCAAGGGAGAGACCAGGTGGAGGGAACTGAATGATGGGACAGTTTCCCCTATGTCATTCTGGTGATAGTGCCCGAGTTCTCATGAGACCTGATGGTTTTCTGTGTCTGGTAGTTCCTCCTGCATTCAGTTTTCCTTCCTGCCACCATGACTGTAAGTTTCCTGAGGTCTCCCCAGCCATGTGAATGAGTCAGTTAAACCTCTTTTCTTTATAAATTGCCCAGTCTCAGGCAGTTCTTTGCAACAGTGTGAAAATGGACTGATACAGACAGTGTACAGGAATCCAAGAGGACAAAGTCCTGCGTGGATGAGCCAGAGACTGACTGCATCGAATGCCGCTGACGGGTCAGGAAAGAATAGAAGTGAGAACTTGACTATTGACTTGTACAAGGTGAGGGTCACCATTGACCTTGATAAGAGCAGCTTCTGAGGTAAGAGGAGCCCAAAGGACCACCTTGAATAGGTCTGGGAGAAGCTGGGACGAAAGATACAGAGGTGAGCAACACAGCCAACTCCTTATGGTGTTTTCCTTCAAAGGAAACAGAGAAATCTGGCAAAATGGCCCTTTAGTCAAAATGTTTTTAAGGTGGAAACCTTACGTCTGGGTATACTAATTTGAATGGTCCAGGAGAGTGGCAATGGCTGGAGTGAGGCACTGGGTTAGGTGAGGTGGGATGGGAGCCAAGGACCTCCCATAGGAGGTACAGCAGCTGAGTCCTGCAGCAGGCAGGGTCTGCTGTGGGCTCCTGGGAATCTCACCATCTGAACTTACTATTGCCCTAGGACCTAAGCTCCAACAACAAACCAGCCAACTGGGCTTGGTCAGCCAGGTGGTTCCTATCGATTCCAGTCTCTTCCTCTTCCACGTAAGCCCATTGGGCTGAATTCCCAGCTTTCCTTGCAACAAGTGAACTTGAGTTAGGACAATATAGTCATTACCCTCAAAGAACAATAGAACGTTGTGTGTGTGAAAACAACACTGCTTAACAAAAACCCATTCTAAATAACCAAGGCAAATACATGGGTGCTGGGTGAGAGAGCCAGCAGATCCCTGATGGGCACTCCCAGAGGCTGCCCGGAAAAATGCGGGCTTTGTTCAGGTGCGGAAGTGATGGGGAATGCAGAGGGGGCCACGTGCCAGGAAACTAGTGCAGTAAATAGAGACTGATGCATTGTGTGTGCAAAGCATGACCCAAGGACCCAAGTCAAGAAGAGACTTGGGAGGAGACAAAAATGGATCTTAGTGTTAGGGTTGTGACAGAAGTAACACACAGAACTAGAGTGTGGAGGGACTTAGAAGGCTCGGTAGAGGAGTGGGGCTGAGTACCGGCCTTGGAAGACTGGGTAGGATTTGGCAATGGCAGGGCCCAGCAGGCAGTGAAAAGTGAAGGACAGCAGGAGCAGGTCAGAGATTCTGAGGCCAGCACTCACAGGCTGAGTTTAAACTGGATCCTGAAGGCGAGGCAGCCACAGACAGCTCTGGAGAAAAGCACGGCACATGCAGAATCATGTTTAATGATGCTCAATGGCGCCAACACTGGAGGTCTGGAGATAGGGTGGCCAGAGCAGTGGCAGAGGGAGTAGAGACCACACCGAGTCACCGACTACTTCATGCAGACGCCAGAACTGAGGGACTAATTGGAAAGGAAAGAAGGCACCCAAGACCATGTTCAGGTTCTGAGTGTGAAGGCCTGGGTGTGTCAACTGAGCTCTGGGTGTGGAAGGAGATGCTGTTGGGGGGAACTGAGAGGCTTGGTTTGCACATGCTAAGTTTGAGGTGTTACGAGTTTCCCAGGCAAAAACGCCCAGGAGGCATCAAAACCAGCGTTTACAGTTCAGGAGTGAGGTCCGGGCCGGAGACCCAGATGTAGCAATGTCGGCACAAGGATGAGGCTCAAAGCCGAGGAGATGGATGATGCCAGCAAGGGAGAATGCTCAAGGTAAGAAAAAGTGAGTCTCACTGATCAGGTACAAGAGCTGCCATCACACCTGTAGCAGGTAGACTGCTGGGCAGTGTTCCCCTCCTCCCCGTCTGTCTGGGTCTCACCTGCCCTTCTGGGCCTGGCCCCACCCGCTCTGGGAAGCCCTCTCTGGCTACTCCATCCCCCAGGCATCCTTCCCTTGCTGTGAGCTTCTCAGCCCTGGCCAGCCCCACCTTAGCACTGGGTCTTATGTTGTCACCTTGGTGTAGTCCCCAAGCACCTTGAGGGCAGGATGACAGTTAACCCCCTTGGGCCATTGCATTTTCTGGCACAGAGCACCCAAAAGGCACTGATTAAATAGGTCCTCCTCCTTGATGAATTAATACATTGATCAGTTGCTGAAATGAAGATCAAGAAAGAAAGGTGAGTTTAATTAGAGATAAAAAGACTCACAGATGTTGGACTCATACAGCATCTACTCTTCTGTGTCTGGCTTACTGCTTCATCATGATGAACTAGGTCTACACGTATCAGCATGCACACATGTCAAAATCACTGTTGCGTAAGCATAACAAGTTGCAGATGTATGTTAAACCAACGGGAGTAGTCACAAGCACTATAAATACCAAATACTTCAGGTTCTCTCAAGCACAAGGTAGGAATGCCCTTCCCTACTCCCATGGAGGTAGGCTGAGTGTGGCCATGTGACTTGCTCTGGCCGTTTAAACGTGAGCGGAAGCTTCTGGGTGGAACCATTTTTTCCTTCTTCCTCTCTATCGCAGACCCTTCTCAAATGTGTTTAGGAGTGAAATACATATGTCCAATGTACTCAAAAAGAAATAAGTAAATAAAAGGAAGAACTGAATCTAAGGCAAAACTGTGGGACTGCAGAGGGGTGTGTCCAGTGATTCTGGGTAGGGGCACCCTTGGCAATTTGGGGAAACAAGGGGTTGTAGGGTTGGTGGAATGGAAGGTCAGCATCCCTGGCTCCATCTCTGAAATGCTGGAAGTGTCCTTGGCTATGTGACAATCAAAATGCCCTCTCCCTCCTTCACCAGTTTCCAAACACTCTGAGCGGTAGCGCCAGCCCCAAGGGAACCATGAATGTAGAAGAATCGCCAGACGCAAGGGTGGGAGGCACGGTCGCAGCTTGAGACAGCCAGGCTGGGGGAGGAAAGGATGTGACACTGTAATCAGTTCCATACGTGCTCAAATTGCATGTGACAAGTTGAAAGAGAGAGGATGCCTTCCATAGCCGACAGAACAGAAGGGACTGTCCTGGAGGGACATTGATGAAATGGATATACTAGTGGTAAAATGCACCAATAGCAATGTTTTCAGCAGCTGTGAACAGTAGCCTTTACATGGAGTCTCGCAGGGTCCTCTGAAAATCCCAGGTCATTCTCCCCCTTTTACAAATAGGGAAACTGAGGGCTGGAGAGCTGGGGGCTAGGTAACGGGGCAGAGATGACAGAACTCAACAGAGAGGAGGATTCTGAAGCACAGTAGGTGGGACTAAGTGAAGACCTGGAAGGCAGGTGGGAAGGGAGCAGGACCCAGGCCAGCTGGAGGAAGAAGAGAAGGGGACTCGGGGGTGATCTTCCCCGCTAACCCCGCCACCTTCAGCCAATCCAGATTGTGTAGGTAGAGACATCCAGCAGAGAACTGGATGGGTTGTGACTCCTGCAAGCTGCCCTTCTGGGGGCTCAGAGGACCCGCCTCTCAGGGAAGTTAGGCACCTCCTCGGGTGGACACGGAATGCCGCTGGGGCAAGCTCCTGGGACACCATGAAACACTCAGCAGCCCTCAGGGCCCACAGACAGCCTCTGAAGCAAGAAGGAAGAGGGCCAGTCGCGTGAGCAGGCACTTCATCTTCGATCCTGCAATCCAGGCTCTGTGTGGCCTCTAAGGGACCCAGCCGCATGAGAACACAGAGACACACGAGGGCGCTCTAACCAAATAGCAGGAAAGGAACAGCATCTGTCCCCACACAGAAAGAGGGTTGGCATTTTCAAAGACCTTTGGTCCAAGGTTTCTGAGCGCAGCCGCTATGGTATTTTAGGCAGTAGGTTTCAGGGCATTTGCTACCCTTGGCCCCCTTCCCATCACTGACCACCCTGCTCCACACATTTCCAAGCACCCCCTCTCTTGAGAGCCCCTGCTGGTCAGTGCCACCAGAAGATGGCAACTGGTGGCCCTGGGGAGGGCGGCGGTCTCTGCTGTCCCCCAGCCTTACAGAGGACTCCCGTGCCTCCCACGCTGACCCTGTGAGTTAGGAGCTTGCAGGTGCTGGAGCATCAGAGGTCCCCAGTGACAGTCCGTGTTGGTGCCGGCTCATGGGGACTGTCCTCCTTGGGAAACACATTTTCCTCTACGTTTGTTATCCTTCAGGGTTGTGCAGGACCGGGCCACCCTGATCACACCAGGGACACAGACACAGGACCCTGAGACAGACGCCACGGGACCTGCTCACAGACACCCAAATCCCAGGAAGCAAACATGTGGCCACACAAAACACAGCTGGCACGAAACTTCCACAAAGCACATCTGAAACAAGGCACCCTCCAGAACCCAGACAGTCTCCAAAGCTGTGAGCTCTGAAACATTTAGACCATCGGGTTCCCAAAGTCAAGCATCAAAGGTGAGTAACTAGGAATGCGATTCAATATTCACCAACCAATGAGCCCTGGGCCCCAGCCAGTCAGGATGGGGCCCAGTGTAAACACCTGGTGCATACAGTGTGCAATCAGCCCTGCAGTCTATTTGGCTGAGCCCGAGTGCCCCGTGGGAAGCCAGACATGCCAAGATGGCCATTGGGCAGTACAGAGGTGACTTTTTGGGAATACATGTCAAAGGGAGACAGGAGTCTGGACATTTGCTGGGATACTGGGATGGCAACTCCAATGCGAGGACTAGAAACCTCGCAGGGATCTGAGAAAATGAAGGGCTGGAGAAAGACCCAGACCCCTCCAGATCCTCCACAAATACCCAGCATCGCCCACCCCCACCAAGAAGCCCCACGGTGTTCTTAAACAGCGGGGCCTGAGAGTCCCAGGAAGGTGATGTCTGCTGAAAGGCATCGCTGGGACCACAGGGCACCTGTGGGCAGAGCCCTTGCCAACTGAGCTGCTGCCACCCGTGAACACCGATGGGCACCGGCTCTTATTCCATGGGAAGCAGACGATGAAAACCAAACATGAGTCTTACCCTCCTTCGAAGATTTTGATCCTCGCCGGCTCCCCTCTCTGGGAGGCAGGAGCATCCTCTTCTGGCTCCCCTCTCCTCTCTTCTTCCTTCTCCACTCTAGCTAGATCTTTCTGGCCTTCCGGGGAAACCAGCGAAGGGAGGTGAACCTGGCCCACCGCAGGAATGACAAAATCATTGCTGGTCAAATGTTCGTCCTCAGCCGTGAATGCAATGCTAATAATCATGCCTCACATGACACTGCATAAGTACACATATGCAATCTTCACACTCCTCCATGAAGAGGTGCTATTAGCCCCACTTTTCAGAATTAAGGAAACGGATACCCAGAGAGAAGTCCCCAATCCAAGGCCATGCCATTAGTTGGTGTCACGGCCGGAACTCTGTCCCTTTCAGGTTAACCTTCTGTAAGACCTGTGTCTGTTCTCTGTCTTTCACACTAGTCTGGGAGATCCTGGGGACAGGTCCTCATCTTGGTCTCCTTGGTCCCCCAGCACCCCAAACAGGGCCTGTCTCAGAGAAGATGTTTAAATAATGTTGAACACATAAACAAAGGCTCCACTCTGCCTTTGGAGATAAACTGGCCCTGGACCAGTTTATAGATTAGAAAGCTAAGGTCACCCAGCAAGTTAAGGGCAGAGCTGGGGGCAGAGCACAGGTCTCTTGCTTCCAGGATCTTGGCCCTCCTCGGCTAGTACCAAAGGCCAGGAGCTGGGCTGAGGGCCCTGACCAGCAGCATGCCCCTAGCTCTACCACAGAGACAAGCACAGAGAGGCTGTGAGGCTCTGGGCTGCTAGTCCTGCAGAACCCATGCTCTTTACAGTGCGACGCCTCAATGATGAGAGCTGGCTTAAGGGGAGCGCTGGCACTGGCCTTGTGCTTCCTGGACATCTTCCACTATCCCAAGAACATGTCCTCTAAATGCTCCAGTGTTGTCAGGGATGGGCGCACTCTTGCCTGGGGAGCAGCAGTGCTGTGCAGGGCGGGGGCTGGAGTGAGAATTTCCTCCTACTTCATGCCACTGTCATGAAGGTCATGAAAAACCACACTGTTTCCAGCCAGTGAATGAAGCAACCACATTTCCTGAGGCTGGGGCAATCTAAGAACGACAGTCCTCTGTGCTAGCCACTACCAGACAGTCCCCGACAAGGACAGCATGGGGCCAGATAGAAAGGTGCCTGGCTGGGAATCGTGAAATCTGAGTTCCAGCACCAGACAGGCCGTGGCACACTGGGCTGCCCTTCGGTGGATGACTTCACCTCTCTGGACCTCAGAGTCTGAGGGGATTTAGACCATCTTGAAGATCCATTCCAGGGTCAACTTCTGTGACTCAGTGACCACCAAATAATCTCTGCAGAATTGGAGGAGGGGAGTGGAAACTGAGCAATACTCTGGACTGCCGCTTTGGCAGAAGGCAGTAGTTTTCTGCAATACCCTTGGGTTTCCAGAGCCTGCCATTTCCACTCCACTCCAGCCTGTGATCTAGACTGACCATGGAATGGCCAAGGGGCCTCCACAGGCAAACAGACTGCTTCTCCCTTGCAGCCTGCTGTGATGTCTGGGCTACGCTGGAGGAGGCTGGTTTGGGCAGCAGGGAATCACTTTCCAAGGAAACCCAGTGTTGGAACTGAGCAGGGGTCAGGGATCCATTTTATCTTTTGATGACAACAATACGAATAAGTATAGCTAAACATACTGAGTGCCAGTGTGCCACGCACTGTTCTAAGCACACTTGGCATGTCTCAACACATTTCATTATCTCCACAGTCCTATGAGCTAAGTCTTTTTGTTATCCCTATTTTACAGAGAAAGAAACCAAGGCTCAGAGAGGTTAAGTTATTGGTCCAAGGTCACATAGCTAGTAGGTAAGGTAGTGGGATTCAAACTTGGGGAACCTGGCACCTGAGTCCTTGCTCTTAATCCCTTTGTGACAGTGCTGTGTTGTCAAAATGATTCCCAAGGAGGAAAAAGGAAAGAATGTGACTACGAAGTGGGCTCTTAACATGGGGTTTCTCCAGGGCTTATGCATGGAAAAAAATCTACGAGCAAACTAAAACATCATAGGGTGGCCTAGACCTGGGTGAAGACGGTTTGGAAGAGCTTCGAAATGCTAAGACAGACCTAAGGACCTTCTCAGAACTACTAGCAGAGAGTGGGAGCCACAATCTGACACATGTCAGCCCAGTACATTAAAGAGCCTTCTTAGGGCACCGTCCAAAGATGGATTGGGTTGTGTCATGAGACGGTGAGTTCCTGTCTCTGTAGGTATGTAAGCAGACACCAGAGAGAGGTGTAGCTGTAGAAAGGCCTTAAGCCATAGACAATGTGTTTATATTAACGAACCAGATTGTTGCAATTCTGGAAGGAAACATGCCAGTGAACCAAACAGAATATTCCAAGAAAAGGTTCACAGGTTTTAGGAGTATTATAAATAAATATTGCCAAATCCAATTAGGCCGAATTAACACTACCTTTCCCTTAAATGGCCTATAATATTTTCAGTCATTAAAAACTAGAGGCAGCTTAGATAATTCAAGAGGGCATTGGAGTAAAATCTAGCTCTGCCATTTACTGTGTGGCCTTGTGAAAGTTACTTAACCTCTCTGTGTTTTGGTCTCCTCATCTATGAAATGGTGATATTGCACCCTAACTGTCAAGGTGGTTGTGAGGAGAAAAGTAACGTTTAGCATAGTACTTGGTACATAATAGGTACCCAAAAAGTTAGCACTATGAATAATTATAACAGCATCTTGGTAGTGGCCACAGCTAGTAAGAAACGCTGCAGAGGAAATTAGCATGACATTAACACAAAAGTGGAAATCTTGGTCAGGGATGTCTTTAGACTGACAAAGACATCTAGAAAATAAATTTGGAAAACAGTTTTGTGAAGAACATCCAGTCCAGCTAAGGACAAATTCAATGCACAATGTTTGCATAGAGAAAGATATGAGAGCACAGGAAATTTCAGAACACAGTTTTGCTCACTTATTTACAATACGAATTTAGTTTCGGGAATTTAGATCTGATTTGGTCAGAGCTTCTGGTCTGAAGACACACTAATGAATATTTTTAAATTTGCAGTCATCTTTTAAGATTTCCTCTCCTCAATTAAAAGAAGAAAAATAGACTCTTTGGAGTCAAATAGGTCTGGGTTCAAATTCTGGATTTGTCCAACATTTGCCAGATGACCTTGACTTTTCTCAGCCTCTGACCCTCAGTTCCCTAAGCTTTAGAAGGGAGATGGTTATGTTACTTTAGAGGTAGAGGTGAGCAGTGACTAGATTCAAGGGCTCAGCACAGTGCCTGGCACCGTGAGGCTGCTCAATAAACAAGAACAGCTATTATTCCACAAATGCCAGGTCAGCATAACCCAAAACCCTAGGCTGGCCTTGTCAGGGTATGGTCGTGGCTTTTGTCTGAAGGTTTGAAATGACTGAATTTCCAACTTGCTGAGCTTGCAGGGGACCAGTTCATTTTATCGCTCCTGAGGTAGCCTCAGGTCAAAGGCGATGAAGGAGTAAACGTGAGCCTTTCTTGAGGGTCTGGTGGTACCACATAGAACACATAGGTCAAACTGTGAGTGATATTGCCATCCACTGGTAAGGAGGTATACTGCAGCTCAGCTCCATTTGCTGCCTTAATCCCAGGAAAGGAGAAAGGAATATTTCAGGAGTTGTTTGTGCCAAATTCTAGAATATTGGAAATGGGAAGATTTCAAGTGGTACTAGAGAATGGAAACAGAAGATGCAGGAATTAAGAAAAGCAGGAAAAGGCTAACAAGACAAAGGAGATCCATATAATGAAGGAATTGCTACAGGCATTCTTGCCAGCCAAGTTTTCCAACTCAGTCTTCTGGAAAATTTCTTTTTTTCTTACTGAGACTGTATCTTTGATTTTACAACAGAAGTTCATGGGAAAGCAGGATCATTTTATAGCTAACTTTATTGAAATGTATCTATTCCAATGATACAAGGGACACCCTGACCAAGAAACTCAATAAACAGGTTTTCTTGTAAGGTGACCGGTCTCAGCTTCCAGGGGGGAAATCTGACTACTCATCTGGCTCCAGTTCTGCAAATGGAACCTGAGGACACTGTGGCTGTAAAAGCTCAGCAAGGGCTTTTACAAATCAGCGATGAGAAGAAAAACAATGCTGAACTTACCTCTGTCATGCGGGGCTTGTGGGAGCTGGATGGCACAAGCCTTCCTGCCTCAGGATGCGGAGCTGTGGCCATGGTGTATGTCTCTTTGCTCACTTTCTGCTTAGACCTCAGGAGGGACAAAGCAGCCTTAGTGGAAACCCCCGGAAGGTTGGGGTTGTACAAACTTATGCACCAACCAGCGTAAACAGAGGACCTCCTATCTGCATGCTGGATGTGATTTGGCTTAATGTAGTTTAAATAGCACCAACTGACATTAGTGGTTGTGTGGAGGCTGGGGAACTGCAGTACCTTCTTTGAGTCCGTACCTTCTTGTGACTTGGCTGGTCTGGAGGCTGTTTCTGACAGAGGCAGAGAGCTGGGAGGTGCCAGGGAGGGGAGGTCAGGTTGTTCCTTGGAATCTTCTTTCTTCACACTCAGTGGAGGCAACCCTCTTCGGTGAGGTTTGCCAGATGGCTGGGCATATTCCTTCAAAGCTTCTGAGCCTGGGGCTGTCCCATGGGGCAATGTAGGGTGAGGGAGGGGAGGAATTTCCTTTGGGTCAGATGGATCCGAGGACAGGCTGGACAGCATTTCTAGCTCCCTCCTGCCCTGGCCCTGGTTGCCTAAGTGGGATTTCTCTGGTCTCTTCCCATCCTCGGTGCTGGTAAGCACCACACTGCATGGTTTTACCAGCTCAAGTTTTTCATCTGCCTTGGAAGCCTCCTCCTCCTTCACTCTTTTTTGCTGCTGGGTTTCCATGGCAAGTTCAAGGCTGCCAGCTGGTGAAAGGACACGTTTGCTTCCCCCTGCTGTCGATGAACTCCCCTCTGGGCTCAAGACACTCTCTGACGACAGGGAAGTGCCTTTTCTTTCAGGTAATGTCACAGGCACTCTCAGGTATGGAGTCAGGAAAGCTCTGCCTTGCTCTTCACTTGGTCCAGAAGGTCCAGGCCCAACCTCATGCACATCTGCACCACACACAGTTGTCCCTTTGGATGGGGGTTCCTCAAACTTGGGAAGTGCCACAGTTGCTGAGCTGCCTTGGGACTGGGTGACCAAGATCTGGGAAAGGGTGGTGTACATCGCGCTCCCATAGGACGGCATGTTGGTCTGAACACGGACGGGCACAACAAGGGACACCATGGTGTCTGGACAGGCAGGCAGGGCCAGTGGAGGGGCTGACGTAGGTGCTGAGGAGCTGGCTGAGGGAGCCACAGGGGGTAGCCGGATGTCACTGCTGTACTCTGTGCTGGGGGAGAGGCCAGCACTTCCTGTAGTCAGTGGGGCCAGGCTGGTTTTGATCTGGGGCAGATGGCTTTCCACATCACTGGGGAGCTGAAGTGCAAACTGGGATTGCAGAGGCAGGAAAAACCCAGAAGAGAGTGCTGAGGAGGACGGGTATGGCATGGGGAGGAAGGAAGGGGGCTGCCGGAAGGGGATGTTGGCTGGGTGAGGCATGTGCTGGGGGAGATGGAGTTGGCCTGGGTGCAGAACAGTAGGCTGGAGAGGAAGCGGTGGGGCTTGAAATAAGGAGGGAGGAAGTGGGGGCATGGAGTATGGTGAGGAAAGGAGGCTGGACATGGCCTGGGTGGAGAAGAATTCTGGAGACTGTCCTGGCTCATGCTGCAAGAGGTGCTGGAAGGAGAAAAGGGAGACGGGTGGCGGCAGGTACGGCTTCTCATGCAGGGGCGTCTGGGCCACCGGGTGGTGGAACACCTGCAGTGCTTCTGTGTAGGGCACAGTGGGCCCCAGTGGAGGTCTGTCCTGCCCTGGGCCCTTGCTTCCTGGGGGCCCACCATGCGAGGTGGCTGTGGGGGAAATCTGGGACAAGGAGCTTTTGGTCGAGGGTTTACTGGATGAGGGCTGTGGTTCTTCACTCTCCTGTCTTCCCTTGGGAGCAGCCTCCAGCTCAGATTCTGGAGGCCTGCTCAGAGAGGCCTGTCTCACCAAGAAGCATTTTCTCCTCTCTGGCGGGGCCACCCGTGCAGGTGGAGCCACTGGGGCTGGAGCAGAAGTGCCCGTCAAGGACAAGCTGCCATAGTCGAAGGATTTGCTGCGTGTCTCGGTCATGTGGGCAGAATGGGAAACATTGGGGCTCTGCTCTGAGGCTGACCTCCGCATCTCTCGGGCATGCGGGTGGTGGCTGGGGACAGTCAACATGTGGGTGCCCAGGGGTTTGGAGCGCATGTCAGACGAGGGACCGGGGGCCTCGGCTTTCCCATGGTCATCCCTCTCAAATGAGGCTGAGCGGCTGGACCCGCTTAGAGAGACGCTGCTTTCCTGGCTCGGGCTGCGAGACAGAGGCACAGAGGACTCAAAGCTGGACTCCCCTGACGACTGGGCCATCTCAGCCAGGCGCAGCCTCTTCTTTTTGGGTGGCAACTTCTCAGCCGGGAGCTGGGCAAGTGTCTGGCTGCGCTGGGGCCACTGGAACTCCTCAGTCTTCTCAGGTTCCTTAGGAGGTGGCTCTGGCTCTGTGTCCGGCCTGTCGGGCTCCTCGGTTACCAGGATCTCAGGAACCTGAATATTGGGCTGGCGGACCAACTTGGGCTGCAGAGAGTGAGCCGAGCGTCCATGTGGGGCAGGCGGGGGCGAAGGGAACTGGGCCAGAGGTTTGTCTTCCCCTTCCAAGCCACTCGGCTGCTCGAGAGAGTCCGATTTCTCAAAGGAGCTGGTGTGCTGGATGACAGAAATTTCTTTGGACGTTGTTCTCCTCTCCTTCCCTGATTCTGAACCGGGCCCTGGCTTGGGAGTCCTTGGCTGGAAGCCCATGGGTCCCTCCAAGGAGGGCACTGATTTACTTGGTTCTGCTGGTGACTTGGTGGACTCCAGGGGAAGGTTCCGAGTAGCATCGGACGGCCCGGGGCTGCCAAACTGACTTCTTGTGGACTCGAAGGCAGGTGGCTCTTCCTCATCCCCAAGGCTCTTCTCTTTCCTCCTCTTCCGCAGTGGAGTGAGTTCCAGAGTGGTCCCCAGTTTGTAATGCATCATCTGGGACCATGGCTCATGCTCAGTCTGACTCTTTTCAGCTTCTGGAGATATGTGGGTGGCTGCAGAGATGGGCTTTGCGATCTGAAGCTCTGAGCAGTAGTATTTTTTGTGAGCTTCGTAGTTATCCCTTTTCTTATACCGAGCACCACATATGTTACATTCATAGATCACCCCTTTTGTTTTCAAACCCTTCTTGGTCTTTTTGGTCAGTTCGCTTTCCTTGGGTTCAAGCTCCTCCGAGGGCTTGGAGGCTGTGTCTTTGCTGCTTGGTCCAGGCTCCTCGGAACTGTACTCCCCTCCCAAAGGTAATTCGATGGCCGGCTGGCGCTTCAGCATCCGGGGGTGGGAGGTAAACACGTGACTGCTGCGGCTCAGGGCTTCGGAGTCGGTGATATGGTCGTCGAAGGAGTAGCTACCTCGGAAGGGGTGGTGAGGGGTGCTGATAGTGCAGGCGGCAGAAGGCATTGAGTGACTTCTCAGGAGAGGCACAGGGGGGGCGGTACTGGGCGGGTGCTGGAGGCTCAGCAGTGATTGTTCAGGCTTGGTTTTCTCGCTGTGGGATGACAGGGGTTCCCGGTAGAGGCTGGATTTCGGGGACTCCATGCTGCTGCGCCTGGACAGCGAGCTCCGCCTCGGCTTCACGCTGTCAATCTCGCTGGTGTCCACCACGGCCTCGTTGATGGTGATGAGCTTCGTGATGTGCTCGATCACCTGCGTCCGGGGTACCGACAAAGGCACCAGGCTGGGCTTGTCTTCGGTGGACAGGGGCAGGAGGGGCTGGGTGGAGGTGGCTGTCAGCATGGCGGTCCGCTGCCCTATGCGCCCACACTTGCCGAAGATGATCTCCGCGTAGGACTTGGCGTTGGTGTTTGGGGGGCTGACCTGCTGCTCTGCACTCTCGGAGCGGGAGAAATACCCAGACTCAGTACTCCCTTTGCTGCCTGGGCTCAGAAATGCCTGCTCATCGATCACCTTCTTCCTCTCGCTTAAGCGGAGGGCCAGCTTCTGCTTAATTGTGTGGGTGTCTTCGGGTTTATGGCTCAGGGGGTGCTCAGATGAGGGTTCCACAAACGGAGGGGGGTCCTCGAGTGACTGGGCTGTGCTGGACTGGGACAAGGAGCAGCGCTCGTGGCTGGAACTGTGGCTCCCAGAGCTGTACAGCCCGCTGGAGAGAAGGGGCTGCTTGGGTCTCGGGGAGAGCTCTGCAGGGTGACTGGAGGTGGCACTAGTCTCCTCTTCGGAATCTGTGCTTTCTCCCTCGGTGGGCTCCTCAAACTCTTCCCCAGGGATCCGCTCCATCTCCAGCCCTGGCGGGTACATCTCGCCGCCCATGCCTGAGGCCAGGCCTGCTTTGATGCGGTGGGCATGGGACTTCCTGTGCTTGTAGAGATTACTCTTGGTCTTGAAGGAGAAACCACAGGGGCCACAGGGGTAGGGCCTCTCCCCCGTGTGTGAACGAATGTGCTTCTGGAGCACGCTGGGCTTGGCACAGGGCCGGCTGCAGTACTGGCAGATGTACTTGCCCGGCTTCTGGGGCTTCCTCTCCTTCTTGTGTGCCTCTTCTGTGGGCTTCAAGGAGACCTGGGAGGGACGAGGCACAAAGACCTTGGAGATGCCAGGAAGGTCCTCGGGAGGAATGATGGAAGCATGGGAAGGAAGGAGCTGGCTCTGAGGATGGAGCCCAGGGGCCACAAAGGAGCCAGATGGTCCAGGTCTCATGGGGTCGACCAATTGCCACGTGGACCCCTCCAGGAGGTGTTCAGGTTTGCCGGGCGACATGAATGCTGGTGTCAGAGGGTGCTGCGGAAGCTGTGAGATGTGGACGGATGCTTCGATGGGGGGCCTTTTGGGGGGTTTCTGTGGCTGGCCCGTTTTCTCCTGAGAGCCTTCCCTAAGAACCGATGAGGGGCCCGGGAAGGGCTGCGGGGCTAGGAGCTCTTGGGCGGGGCTCTCTTGGGTGGCAGCTGCGCTGCTGCCTGGGTATGGGATGCTGGAAGGAACACTGGTCTGAATGGCCTCTCCCTTGGTCAACCGCTTCCGGGGACTTCCCTCAGCCTTCTTGGTGCCCTTGACACTTTGTTCAGGATCCATGACCTTCACAGAGACTTCAGATGCTATTCAGGGAGAGTCAGGGCAGGCTGCATTTATGAATAATCCCAGTGTCCCGAGGAGGTGTCCAGCTTTGGCCACATTGGTCAAGAGCTGTGGAAGCCACACCCAAGATGGTTTTGGGAGTTTTTTGCAAGTGTCACTGGCTGTGAGTGGACTCGGAGCAGGTCATCAGGGCCTGAGCTATTCTACTGGTGAGGCATGGCCCTCTATTTTGCAGACAGAAAACACACCAGCACTTTCCGCCTGAATGTCTGTCGGGAAAACGTCATGAAGGATGTCAGTATTGCCATTGTATTGTTTCAGCTGGCAGTGGCAGGTGGCCCCCACGAGTCCCCTGTGTGCTATGCGAATGGTTGAAGGTTGGAGACACATGTGTCCATGGCCCAGTCATCCCTGGTCCTGGCACGAGAGATGCCACGCTGGATGCTGGGGGGTGGCTCCGTTCCAGCCTCTTCTCCCCTTTAGTTCTGGGTTGGAGATCAACGGCCTCGGAGGAGAAATCACGCTCTTCTTCTGTGTGATGGAAGTACACAGGCAGAGAAATACATACACACACACACACACACACACACACACACACAAGAGAGAAGAGAGTTACTGGGGCTCATGCACAGCCTGGGCAGCCCAGACTCAGTACCTCAACTGGCTGAGGCCCCTCAAAGGTTAACCAGGGAAACTCAACCAGAACCACAGGCTCGGGCTCCACATGGCCAAGCCTGCAATTCTTTCCTCACCCGCTGTCACATCAGTGTTGGGTGACCTGAACGCCAGTGTGTTTCTGAGAACTGTGGCCATGTGGGATGTTGACAGCAAAAGGCAAAGTGGGTTCTGGGAACTGCAGGGCAGTTAGGGACAGGAGGCCTGGGCTCCCATCTCTGCTCCACGATCCACTCCCAATGGGTCTGAGCTCTCTAAGCCTCAGTTGCCTAATCTATAAAATGGATAACAAATCGTGCCTTGACTGTGCCTCAGAGCTGCAGAGGGGCCCGAGGAGATAGAAGACGCAGATGCTGCTAGGCGAGCTCTGGACGGTGCCGCGGCTGGTGCAGGAGGGAAGTGCCTGTGGGTTATTCAGGGGTGAGTTTCCAAGGGGTGGATTACTCTGTGGTTAGTATTTCTGTCTGGCCTGGGTTCTGAAAGTGTCCACGAGGGACATCATCCACTGCTTTTTACCCCCTTGCTAACCTGCGCTCCAGCCGGTGTTTCAAGGCCAAACTGCAAACTTCTGCCATAGCCTGTGAGAACTTACAATCTGACACAGCGGTGACCACTCGCTTGGTCTAAGTAATTGCCAGGAGGCTCCTTCTGGGAGGTTCCTCTGGCTTTGCAGCCTCTCCTTGTCTAGTCAGTGCTCCAGGGATGCCATGGAAGTATGGGGATCCTTGCCCCCGAGTGGAAGTGCAAAGCTGGTCCTTGTGGAGCCCCACGTGTGTGCTTCCTCCCAGGGCTGGCTGCAGGCTGGGCAGGCTCAGCGTCCTGGGCTCAGGTGCATCCTCAGGGCCCTCCTCCCCAGAAGCTGGGTCAGAATCCCAAGTCTGGAGTCACCCCATCTTACCCAATCACCTGACTTGGGATCTCAGCGGGAAGGTGGCTCACTGAAGGGCCCTTGTTGCTAACAGGCAGTGTCGCCATCTGGACCCAGACCTCCCATGGCCAGTTTGTTCCCCAGCCCCTTCCCAGGTGTTCATCCCCTGGCGAGGGCCTGGGTGAGTGATGAGCAACTCTGTGCTTGCTTATACTCCTGTGAGCACGCCCGACCCCCGGCATCCTGCCCTCAGGCTCCCCTCATGGCCCGCACTCTGCTTTTCACTAGAGGTGTGATGATACAGACTTGAAAATTCCGCTTACTACATTTTTCCAGGTGCTCAGAAGATTAGTAAGTCTTTAAGACTCAAATAATTGTCTCTTAAAGGGCGAGGCCTCAGACACTGTGACGTGCTTTGAAGGAGGTGATTTGCTCTGTTAGCCAAAAAGCATATCCTCTAAGTTCACTCCTTTTGTGTTCCTTTTCTACTCGGTGCTACAAAGAATTCAAAGTAACTAGAACAAAATCATGTTTATAGAAGAATGACAAACTATATATATGAGAAAATTATAAATAAATAAAAAATCAGAACAAAGAAAATGCAAATAAGGCAAAAAGTCAGGACTGGTGGGATAAAAAGAATACTGCTATACCAATAATAAGGACTTAAGGTGTTTCTGTAATTCAGCTATATATTTATATATGAGCTTCCTGGCAACCAAGTAGAAAAGGGAGATTTGGTCAATTACAGTCTCTTATAGCCAGAGAGGAAGGAACATCCAAGTTTCTTGGAAAACGTTTTCATTTGGCACTTCAGTCAGCAGCAGTGAATGATGCAGGGGATCATCTATGTCTTCAATGACACCCTCTAGTCATTGAAGACAGTGACTGATTCAATGACATCCCTCTAGTCATTGGATACAATGCAAATACAGTGATTGATATTTGTCGATAAAAGACCACGTGTCAAGCAGAGACTCTCCTATGAGCAGTCAAAGGCCTCCTGTGACTTATACCAAAGCAGGCTGAATGTGGGGAAGACAGGGAAATCTCATTTCACTAGATTACATCTCAGTCAACAGGGTGGCCATATAAGACACCATCCAAACACGGACACTTGGAGAATGAAGTGGGAACTACTAACAATCATGCAGGAACAAGAGGAATAAACAAGGGCAGTCCCAGGCACACCAGGACAAATGGTCACCCTTCCAATTAACACCGCCGTATGGCCAGAACCAGGCATAAGAGCCCACTGTCTCTGGGTGTCTGCTACAAAATTTTGATCTCTTCTATGGGGACTAAAGTTACACCATGAACTTCTGATAGATTCTTAGAGACTGGCTGTGTAGTCTAATCCTTTCACGTGACAGGGAAGACTGAAGGCTAGAAAGGTGATATGATTTCCCCCGCAAAGCTCAAGGGAATGGTGGCAGGGCTGGTCCAGCCTATGCCTCTTGGCCCCCCAGCCAGGGCTGTCTCCCAACTGAATTAATGAAAGTTCTCTGTGGCTTCTGTGGCATGATGAGCACTGCAGTCCATGGCCCCTAGTCCTATGGAAGCACAGGCATGGCCCCAGGGGACATCACTGTATCCATGGCAAGGGGGAGTAAAAACTTGTCTAGCATCTCAACAACAGAGTTGGCCTTTCAACCTATGTCCTAGCCTCACTGCGGCTGCTGGATAGGAGAAATGGGGAGCCCAGCTAAGGTGGGGGAACTCGTCCTGGCAGCACAACTCCAGGTCTCGCTTACCTAAGCTAAGGTGAGCAGAAGTGATGAGCCTTCTAAAAATCAGACATGGTGGACACGGTTTGCAGCACAGACAGAGAACTGCCTCCTGGGGCTGGGCTGGGGCTCCTGGGGCTGGGCTGGGGCTCCTTGGCCTGGTTGCACTGAGCATGGAAAGGCCAAGGGTTGGCTATACTTACTAATCTTATTGACCCTTTCATGCATGGATCTGAGAGCACCCCAAAACACTAGTGGTAAGCTTTGCTTCTTCCGATGGATGGACGGGACCCTGCAGCATGACTGGGTGGTGACATGATCACTCTGAGTCAGGGCAGCTGGCCAGGTAGGACCCTACATTGTTTAGTCCTGTGCTGTCCCCTCACTGAGCCACAAGGCTGTCCTTGGCAGGTGGGGGAGCATTCAGCAGCTGGGGTTTGGTGCAATTTCCGAGGCCAGGTGGGAGGGGCAGAGTGGATGAAGGAGACAGTCAGGTGACTGTGGCATCATCAGGTGACCACAGGGCCAGCACTGCCTGCCCAGGGTCAGTGTCCAGCCTGCACCTGTGGGCTGGACATCATGTTCCTCCAACGAGAGGCCGTCTATCCACACTCCTGAGTGGGCAGCAAAAGGCCACAGGAGCACCGATGGCCGCCAGGGTGCAGAGTGGCCACCTCAAGCCACACTGGGGCTTGGCCTCCTGGGCTAGTGCTCTCTGCCAGCCTGCTTCACCACATCACGACAGGTCTGAGGTGCTTCACAGGAGGGGCCGGGGGAGAAGGGCAGGCAGGACCACAGGTGCAGACATGGGGAACCCGCAGGGCCTGAGGAGACTTCTGCCTTGGAATGGATTCCAACTGTGGTGTGGCATAAACCGAAGGACTGTTCTAATGACTGTGACCCACAGACACTAAGAAAATGGCTCTCTTCTACCTTCTGTGGTTCTGGGGTATGTGTGAAATGTTAATATAAACTTGAAGTGATAAAGAAAAAAGCCACTTCTTCAGGGAATTGGTGATGGCACCTGTAAAAGATACCAGACAAATGGGCACAGGAGCTGAGCCAACAGGGGCCTGAACCTCAGACCAGAAGAGGATGAACAGCCTCTACTGATGGTCACAGAATGGCCATGAGGTCACCGAGGCCACAGCCCCCAACAGAGACCAGCTTATAACCCTGAGGGGCACCTGAGCTTCAGCAGCTAGCGCACCTGACAATTCAGCTCCCGCTTCAAGCAGCTTCCTTAGGTCTAGCTGCCGGAACAGCCCAACAGGAAGGAGATCAGGACTTGCTGGGGCTGAAGCCACAAAGGCCTCAGGGGAGTGGGAAGTGATGCGGGAGCCTGGGGCTGAGGCAGGGAGGCCTAAAGTTCTGAAACCACACTGGAAGGCGCCTTCTATGGAAGGCATCGGGACAACGTGGCCACAGCCCTGAGTGGACACCCCAGAGGACCTTTCCAGAGAGTGGGGGGGGATGGGCTCTCTCAGGTGGACGATGCCACCAGTCCTTGAATCTGCCTTGGGCTCTAGACTGAGGAGCTTGGGCCCCCAGCCAAAGTCAGATAAGGCTGGGGCAAGATGGGGGCAGGGGTTTGATGTCCAGGGAGCTGTTAGGCCAAGCTGGCCCCAGCCTGGTGGAGCTTAACACAGCTTTTTGCTTGTAATTTACTTCCACACACACCCACACATCTCAACCTGCCACTATGTGGTCAAAAATTTTACTGACAGTAATAAAACATACTGATGTCAAAAATATAAGAAAACCTTCCTTTTAACTTCAATACCTAGTAACCCAGGGCCCGAGGCCACAGGCTGAATAGGAGGCAATCAGTAAATAGTCTTATTTAATGACCTACCAAGAAAACCAGTGCTCCTTCTAAAAATTTCTGTGTACAACACTCTGTGTGTATGCATGTGTGTCTGTGTGTGTGTGTGTGTGTGTGTGTGTGTGTGTGTGCGAGCGTGTGCGCGCTTAAGCTTGGGCAAAATTCTTCACTTGTGAAAACAGTAAAAGTGGCCATGGGCTCAGGTGGGGGTAAAAAAACAAGCCAGATATAAGGACACGGGTCTGGAAGCTAACAGGGAGAGGTGGTCAGAGACTCAGAAGGAAGTCTGGGCAAAGAGAGAGGCCAAGGTCAAGGAGGGGCTCTGGCTGGAAGCAGGGATTGTGGCAGAAACTGAAGATTTCTTCCATTAGCCAGTTCTCTTTCTTGTAGCAATCACAGGCCTCCACGCCTTAGCTGGGTCTGTGGCCACACAGCT